TCTGTCCATCTTAACTCATCCTACCTTCATGAAAAGCTTCTTCTGTCCATCCTACCTCATCCTACCTTCATGAAAAGCTTCTTCTATCTTATCTTCATCAAACGCTTATCTTCTGTCCATCCTACTTCATCCTACCTTCATCAAACGCTTCTTCTCTTACCATCAAAAGCTTCTTCTGTCCATTGTATCTCATCCTACCTTTATTAAAAGCTTCTTACCTTCATCAAAACATTCTTCTGTCCATCCTACCTCATCCTACCTGCCTCAAACGCTTCTTCTCTCCATCCTACCTTCATCAAAAGCTTCTTCTGTCTATCTTACCTTCATCAAAACATTCTTCTGTCCACTCTACCTTTATCAAAAGCTTCTTCTCACCATCCTACCTTTCATCCTAAGCCTCTTCTCTCCAACCTACCTCCATGGATATGCTTCAAAACACAAAACCCATCTTCTCTACCTTCACAAACTATTTTCCTGACTTTCAACGTGCCCCCAACAGACCCAGGACATTTGTGGACCCGCGCTAGGGCCGCAGGTCCTCGTGGAGAGCTCACCTTGATGTTCTGGGAAAGAAATGTCTTTCTCTTTTCACACGAGAAAGCCCATCTTCTCCTCTCCTCTCCCCTCTCAAAGCCTGTAGCTGACACATCAAATTGACAGGAACAGATGGAAGAGGCGGCGGGGGGGGGGGGAGAGCGAAGAAATAGCAGCTTTGTGGGATCCTCGAATTTAATAATTTACCAAACTCTAAGGCACGCCAGAGAGAATCTGGGAGGGGAGCCTGGGGGGAGGGAGGGAGCTGGAGAAAAAAGAAAAAAGAAAATGAACGTCTAGCTTCCTTTATGGAAACGGAGTTCCCAAACAAGGAAGAGGAGCGGAGATTTTACAAAATGTGCAATTCAAAGAGATCTCGTCACCCGGGATGGGGTAAAAAGAAGTTGATAAAAAGAAGCACAGGGCTACGGAGAAATTCAGTCTGAACACTCTGGGCGGGTCTCTGTTTCGTAGGAGACACCTTTGGATGCTAGAAGGACAAAACTCTTAAAATATTTTTCCTGTCTTCCTGGTATTCCTGGTCTACAGAGACTCGTACTTTGCTTTCCCAGCTAAAGGCTAAAACTTTTCTTAGAAATCCAACTGAACATACAGCTATAATAATGCTAATGCTGCCAAAGTTTTTCACCTAATGATGGGCACATGAGAAGCAGAAACAATAGGATTTGGGGAGGGGGATAAAGCTAAAAAAATGTAATGCAGTGGTTCTCAACCTTTCTAATGCCGCGACCCCATAATACAGTTCCCCAAGTTGTGATGACCCTCAACCACTTATACATCACCAGGTGCCAGGGGTGTGGCCAAAGAAAAGGGGAAAAAAATGGCGGACTGCGTTGTTTGGCGACCCCCGTGAAATGGTCGTTCGACCCCAAATGGGGTCCCGACCCACAGGTTGAGAACCACTGATGTAATGTATTATTTGCAAAATAGCTTTGTTCAGAACCAAATTGGCAGTACAGATATCTATCTATCTATCTATCTATCTATCTATCTATCTATCTATCTATCTATCTATCTATCTACCTACCTACCTACCTACCTACCTACCTACCTACCTACCTACCTCTCTATCTACCTACTTACCTACCTACCTATCATATCTCTCCCTCCCTCCCTCCCTCTCTCTCTCTCTCTCTCTCTCTCTCTCTCTCTCTCTCTCACTGTATAATAATTCTTTGGATGTGGAATAAAGTTTGACCTGAAACTAAATTGCCATCATTTGCTAAGCACTTTTTAAGAAGAGATTCTGGTTCCCCCCCCCCCCAGATTACTGGGAAAAAAAATATCTCTCACAATGGAGGACACGGGATAGAACAAAGCAATGTGACCAAGTTGTGGGTCACATTGCTGACACCCATCCCTATCGTCCTTTCCAAACACTTTGAACAACTAAAATTGACCGTCAGTGCTGGACGCCCTTCTCCGTTTTGAATTTCTTTAGAGAAAGAAAAAGTTTCAAGCCACGTTGGGGGGAGGCTGTTTCCCCTCAACTGCAAAAAAACCCCCTGATCTTGCCCAGTTTTTAAGAGCGTTAATTACAACTGCGATAAGGCTGGTAACGAGGGAGCCAAAAAAAAAAAAAAAAGGAGAGAGGGAGGTTGACACGGATGGTTTCGTTCTGCCACCCGTTGCTTGCTTTGGTCCATGTGTCTAAGTGTATAATAAGCATTTAAAATTAAGTCTTGCCAGACAGGCGGGGGGGGGTGAAATAAGGGGGAAGGAAAGGAGGGAGATTTGGGAAGGAGGAGAGAGGAGGGGGGGTTAAATAGTGAAGAATGAACGGGGTGGCAGCGAAGATGCAAATCACTGGTGGAAAAAGGAAATTATGTGCAATTACTCCAGAATACGGGCAGCTCTGCCCATTCCAGCCAACAAGATCTCATTAATAAGCAGAAAATAAGATTGAAATGGTATCTGAAAGAAGTGGAAAAATGAATTTGAATGCCGCATTTGTCCACAATTACCCCCGCGTTCACACATATTTTATTGCAATTTTTTTATTATTATTATTATTCTTAATCTTTCCATCCCTCAAAGCAGATTGGGAACATCGCCGCATTATGGCGACACAAGGAAAGAGGCATTAGAGACCCCGGCGCGCTTTGCCAATTTGCAAAGGCCGGGGCTGGGGGAAGATCAGAATTCGTGGCTCCTCCAGCTTAGCGCCGTGTAGGTACAAGAGTTTTGCAAAAGAGAGAGAGAGAGAGAGAAAGAAAAAAGAAAGACACCCCATCCGCCTTATCCCAAACCTGCATTTGCAACATCTTTGGGTGCGTAGCTTGAGCCCCCCGCTTGGAAAGGAAGAGAGAAAATGAAATTGATATGGAGAGGTCTGCTGGGGTTGGCAGGTTTTGGGGGAGACGGTTCAGCGTCCAATTTAGCAAGAGGTCACAAGGGACGCAGGAGAGCCAGCAGGCAGATGCAAAAGGGAATTTTTTCCAGTTCCTCACCCCCTTTTCCAAAGAGATCTGTGAAACTCGGAAGCTGGCCATCAGCACGGCTGAAGGAGAACAGCTAAAGTGGAGAATTTTACTGTGGATGAAATGCTTTTGTTCCCAGTGGATGGACTTTCCCGCCACTTTTTAGTGGGATAAATGATTAGACAGAAGAAGCTTCTTCTGTAAAAGATTTAATCTCCTCATTCCCTGGCACGCTTTTACAAAACCAACTCTGTTTAAAGGCGCTGGGTGCTGAAGGGAGCTTGGTGTGAATGCAAATATAGTTTCGTTTATTTTCTCCTTTTGCAAAGAGGATATTACAGGTATCCGCTATTTCCTGCACGCACACACACACACAGAGGCTTTTTAGGAATTTTTGAAACAAACCTACCGAGGGTGTAATGCAAATGGTAAAAGGGGACGCAAAATTATCTTCCTTTCCTCCCAATTTTGCAAGCTCCTTATGCTGTCCATGTGTTTTGGAATGAAATTATTCTGATTTTTTCCCCCCCTACGTAGGAAATTGACAGAACTAGATTGAAGTTCAGACAATTATTATTTTTTTTTACAGGCTAATTGGGTTGAAAAGGATCTTCTCTGCCTTGCTTGCCAACTTGCAGGTGTCCAAAATTAGGAACTAATTTATTTTTTTCTCTTTGGGGTTCTGTCTGATCACTTCTGTCTTTCTGACTTCCTTCTCAAACAGCCTCTGAGCGTGTACAGAAGGACTTCCCATTAAAGCCCACAGAATTAGGAAGTTCTAAGTTGGCACGTTAAGAGAGATCTCTGACTTTTCCCAAAATTAAGCCTTGCAGGAAAGAAAGGTTATAAAACAAACAAAATACGGATAAATAATTTCTACCAACACATTTGTGGTTTCACAGTCCCCCCCCCTGCTTCCAACCCAGTGCTTAAATTTTGGACCCCCCCAATTATTTGTATTTATAATTGATTTCCTTTATTACTCTATCTGCATCACCCCTTCCTGATGGAAATGAAACTTTAAAAAAAAACCAAGAAATGAACTATAAGGTGTGCTTTTCCAGTTGGCAAATCAGCAAAATAAACAATTACAAGCCCTTTCCTTAGAACGATAGAAGACAGACCCTCTTCAAATCCGTTATGAGATCATGTAGTAAAATCAAAATAATTTCAGACAAACACACCAAAAGAAAAGACACGTTCATGGCGACGCATTTTTTTTCCCTCTCAGAAATCTTTTCCACTGCTGCTGATCAAACTTTACTGCTCCATCGATAGTGTGTAAAAATGCACGTAGGAAAAAAAGGAAGATTTGGCCCAGCCTCCAGATTTAAATTTTTCTCATGCCTTGCCCCAAACACCGGTAATAAATTTAAATTATGTGTGTAAGAAAGCCATTTGGATCTTTAGAGCGAGCGGCTGAGATTTGCTGACATAAGACAAAGTAGTGGATGCATTTTTTTTTTATTTCTACTTTCGTTGGCTCCATCAAAGTGGGCCAAAGTGGGGTTGGGGGTCCCTAAAAGAGAGGCAGCAGTCTTCTCTCCAATCCAGACCCCATTTTCCGACAAAAATTCAAACAAAAGCCCAACAACGGCAAGCTTGCAATCCCAAGTAAAACCTTCCAAGTTAGAGAGAGAGAAAAAATTACCAGTTTAAGGATAAGTGAGGATTTCTGAAGATAGCAATTACAGCCAAGTGAGGGCAAGGTTTGTTTTTTTTTGTTTTTTTAGCAAAGTCTGGGAGAAATCTCGAGCCCCTGTTGACGGGGAGGCTGATACAAGGACGAAACCACAGATGACATCGATGAACAAAAATGATTTTTTAAAGGCTCTTTGTCGAGTACGATGTCTTGTCAATCATGGTGTTGGTGTTAGAGAATTTAACGTATCTGAAAAGCACCCCAGTTGTGGACCTCTGATTCCCACAACACCCTGTGGACCATCCCACTTCCAAGCCCTCCCGCCCTCCCGTGTTTTTCGCACATGGCTAGAGAGGATTAAAAAAACCGTAGGAAGGACTTACCTGTGGAGACAGGCCGTTACTGACGGGATTCATGTGGTTGGCTGGAGCTGAGGGGTTCATGAAGCTGTCCGAGTAGCTGGAGAAACTGTGCCGGGCTCCGTAGGCAGAGCTGGAGTCGGGGGTGGCTGCCGACAACCCCCCCTGGTGCATGGTGGAGGGCGGGAGAGGCTGGGGCCGGTGCACAGTGCTGCCCCCGTCTGCGGGGAAAGAAGGACCCGTGAGAAGACATGCATAGAGCAGCCGAACCACTTCCTCGGAGAGCTGGCTGAAAAGAAGCTGAAGGAGGATTGGATGGGAGACCACAAGGAAAGGGAGTAGGAGGCCATCCGGTGCAAGAAGGCTAGCTTGAGAAGTCAACAACGTTAAGCGATTCAGAAAGGAATAGAAGTGCATTTCCTTGAGGAGCTAACTGAAAAGACTAAGGACAACTGGGTAGGAGACCGCCCAGAAAGGGATAAGAGACCACCTGGAAAGGGATAGGAGACCACAAGGAGGAAAAGTCAACAGCACTAAGCAATCCAGCATTTTCGTGTAAATCTCATGCAATTGTCTGAAGGCACAAACCACCCAAAAAATTGAGGCCACTGCTCACTTCCTTGGACCCCCAACTAAGGACTCCATCCTTACTTTGGGGAGGAGGCCGCCATTGTTCCTCAAACTGGTTTGCCTTAAGACGTGTGGACTTCCACTCCGAGAATCCCCCAGCCAGCATGGGAGTCTCAGCTTCACACAGGATGCCTGGCTGACTTTGCACAACTCAACCCACACCCACTTGGTTTGTAGGAAGAGAAGAGGTGGGGCATGTGATGCCCTGTCGCCTTGAGTCGTGCAAATCAAGGTGGGAGGTGAAACTGGTCCTAAATAAAAGAGGAAGTGGCACCGATTGCAGGATAGGGCAGGACGAGCATCCAGGCTCACCTGCAATGTCATAGGCCAGGGGTAGGCAACCTTGGCTCTTTTATGACTCGTGGACTTCAACTCCCAGAATTCCTGAGCCAGCATGGCTGAGGGGAAAGGGAGAGGTTTCCAAGCTGAGCCAGGCTGGCTCAGGAATTCTGGGAATTGAAGTCCACGAGTCCTAAAAGAGCCAAAGGAGGATTTAGGAAGAAGGGCTGAAGAAATACTGCTTAAGGGACAGTTAGATAAGAGGCAGCATAGCCCTCAGCTGCATAACAGGTGGGAAAAAAGAGTTTGAATAGCAGACTTTGGGAAGGGACCTTGGAGATCATCTAGCCCAACCCCCTGCTCAAGCAGGAGAGCAACAAAGATGATCAGGGGTCTGGAGGCTAAAACATATAAAGAATGGTTGCTGGAATTGGGTATGTCTAGTATAATGAAGAGAAGGACTACGGGTGACAGGATAGCAGTCTCCTAATATCTCAGGGGCTGCCCCAAAGAAGAGGGAGTCAAGCTGTTCTCCAAAGCGCCTGAAGGCAGGACAAGAAGGAACGGATGGAAACTGACCAAAGAGAGAAGCAACCTGGAACTAAGGAGAAACTTCCTGACAGTTAGAACAATTAACCAGTGGAACCACCTGCCTCCAGAAGCGGTGAATGCTCCAATACTGGAGTTTTTTAAGAAGAGACTGGACAGCCCTTTGTCCAAAATGGTGTAGGGTTTCCTGCCTGAGTAGGGTTGGAATAGATGACCTCCAAGGTCCCTTCCAACTTTATCATCATCATCATTATCAGCCTATACCATTTCAGACCAATGATCCTCCAATCTCTTCTTAAAAAGATGAGAAGCGAAGGCCTTCAGTTCTCGGGCTGTAAAAGGGACAGGCCTACAAGATTCTGTTCGTGCAGTTTTGCAAGAAAGCAGAATTAGCTCAGCTGCTCCTACTGTTTCCTCTTGGGCCCACCTGGGAAGACTCACCTTGAGAGAGAGTGGTGGTCGGGTACGTTGAATCGGGCAGCTGGTAGGGTGGCAAGGCTGGCATGCCCGTCGGGGGGAAGCCACCGGGCAGAAGGTGGTTGAAAGCAGCCAGCTGGTTAGCCCCAGCCTGCTTGCGCCAACGGGCTCTCCGATTGCTGAACCACACCTGAGGAAAGAGAGGCGGAGCCTGTTACCGGCTTCGTACCTTGACGGCATCAGATACAGTCCCCAATGGGGAAAGAAAGGCATCTTCTAGCGTTGGACTACAACTCCCAGAATCCTCAGGGAGGTGGAGAATCATGGGAGCTGAAGTCTAGAACAGTGGTTCTCAACCTGTGGGTCAGGACCCCATTTGGGGTCGAACGACCATTTCACGGGGGTCGCCAAACAACGCAGTCCGCCATTTTTTCCCCCTTTTCCTTAGCTGTGCTACTCCCTTTTATCCTATTGGCTTTTGAAAGCCAATAGAACAGACTCTCTTGAATAGAGTCTAATTCTATTGGCTTTCAAAAGCCCATAGGAATGGTCCAGGCTGCCTCTGCCCTGCTGAGCCCGCCAAAAGTCCCATTCTGCAAACGGTACTGCACCCGTTGAGTATCCTCCACTTACGACCGGTTGAGTAGTCCTCGACTTATGACCGGTTGGGGGGGGGGGTTGCGGCATTAAAAAGGTTGAGAACCACTGGTCTAGAAGAAGGGAAGGAGCAAGTGAGCTGTTGGTAGAAACATGGAGAGCAGTAACAGAGAATTAGGAAATACAAGTGCCCTCCCCCCTACTTGCCATTTTTGGTCGGCTAGTTGCTGGTCACTTTTAAGGCAGAATTTCTCAATCTTGGTACGTTTAAGTCATATGGACATTAACTCCCAGCACAGCTGGCTGGGGAATTCTGGGAATTGAGGTCCAGTTGCCAAGGTTGAGAAACATTATCCTAAGGGAGAATCAACCACTCTTTTCCACCTTTTTTTTTCTAGATTTGTAGAGGGACTTTTTATAAAATATTAAATACACAACCCACAGGCAAACGATGTGTTCCTGTGCATGAATGTTGCCACCTCCTTATTTGAATCCAGGCGGTTCCGTGCAACCCTAATAAGGGACACCTTATTTCTTTTCCCAAATTGTCAAGCCATAAATTCACACACGTTGGAGAGGAGGGTGGGTGGGAAACGGGAGGAACAATCGTTCAAGTTTAGCTTCTAGGGAGCTTCGGCATCGCAGCTGCTTAAAATCTCCGAGGCCTCACAAGATGAGCAACGGGATTAAATTTCAGAGCAACTGGAATTTTTAGGGGGAGAAAAATTAAAACAGGCCAAAAAAAAAAACAAAAAACCCAACCCAGAACATACTCCAGGAACTGGGAAGAGAGAGAAATTGCTGAGTTGGGGGGACGGGCACATAAAAACCTCTCTACAAAACACACACACACAAACACACACCCTCTTTTGCTGAAGGAGAATCGTTAGGCCAAATAACGCAAAATATTATATATATTTTTTAATCCCTACAGCTACTGCTTGGAGTTTGAAAACACAGATAAGTGTCCATTAGCCCAGAATGCAAGATATTCCTTTCCCCTCTAGCAAAGATTTTTGATGCATTAGATTGGGGAGGGGGGATTCTTCCTTTTATTTTATTTTATGAGAGGTAATGGACAAGCCAGGTGCAATACCAGATGTGGAAGCCCATCACATCTGTAGTGACTTCGCTGGTGGATGGAGAATGACGGCATTAATTTAAAAATGCGCGCGCACACACACACACACACACACACACACACACACACACACACACACATATATGCTACTATCTTAAATTCTGGCCCCCCTGGGGATTTTCTGCTGCTTCCCACACACTGGGAACGAATTATTGGCCTTGTTATGAGTGTGCTTGGCCTCTATTTTCCCCTCTGGAACTGGCACGTGCTGGCAGAGTCAAAAAAAAAAACTTCCAACCCTCAAATTGGGCACAAGAAGCTTTCCTAATCAAATTAGGGATAACAAATACAGAATAACAGGGACCTCGGAGGTCATCTAGTCCAGCCCGCTGCTCAAGCAGGAGACCCTATACCATTTCAGACACATGACTGTTCAGTCTCTTCTTAAAAACCTGAGACTGCATTGAAAGTACTGGGATTAGAGCCTCCCTATCCAGGCAGAGTATATCTGTTGGGGGCGAAGTCCACTAAAGCCACTCTCCTCCTCTGGATGGGTATTCTGAAGAACATTGGCACAGCCCCTCTCCTAGGCTGAGTAATCTTCTCTTCCGAGCTCTGCATCTTCAAATGCATATATTATATACAGGGAGTCCTCGTTTAACGACTGCCCCGTTTAGTGACCGTTCAAGCTGGGGATGATGCTGGAAAAGTAACGTGATGTCACCGTTTGTGCACTTCATAGGCAGCATCCGACAGGCAAAGTCAAAACGGGCTGTGAAGTTGCAAGTCACGCCACACGATGTCTCGCTTAATGACTGTATCACTTAGTGACAGGGTTGCCGGTCCCAACTGTGGTCATTCAGCAAGGATTAGCCGTATAACTTAAGAATCAAAACTGTGGTCATTCAGCAAGGATTAGCCGTATAACTTAAGAATCAAAACCGTGCCGACTACGCTGTCTCCAGGGAGGCCAGCTGAAGAACAGGAGGAAGTTTTAACAAAATTAGGCGCGTTCCTGGCTGTTTCCAAAGCTCTACTACTCCTGTCTATGGAGGCTCCACCTGGCCTGTCACGACCCTTATCCATCCTTCGAAGGACCTGTCTTTCAGGGATGTCTCCTGACTATACATATATATATATAGGTCTTTGGTTATTTGGGTTTTCTCATATATATATATATATATATATATATATATATATATATATATATATATATATATATATATATATAGGTCTTTGGTTATTCGGGTTTTCTCCCGCGTCAAACTGGAAGTGTCTTGGCGACTATATTTAAATTATCTTCTCCAGCTCGTATCCTTCTTCTTCCTCTCTTGTTGTCGTTTTTTTTCCAACACAGAAAGGAAAAACTAGGAAGTGACAAAGATGGAGAGTCATTGCCCACTGCCCAAAGCCCCCTGCTGTAACTTAGAGGCGTGCATGTGTGTTTGTGTCTGTGTTTGTGTGTAAGAAGCTACAGATGATTTAAAATACAGCCCAGCGGTTCCTACCATCCATATTTTTTTTTTCCCCTTGCCCCTTCTCTCTGGAACGGTAGCTGACGTCTCTCTCTCTCTCACACTTTTAATGCTTATAAATCATTTTATGGGTGGATAAAATATACAGGCTGGAGCGGAGAGGGTAATGCGAGACCCACTTCAAAGCAAAGCTGTTTTCACTCCATCACTGCTAAGGTTTTATCAGGCGCTCAAGGAGACTCGCTCTGCCATGGGGATCCGTTTCAAGAAATAAACAGACAGCTCGTCTCCCCACGGGGACCCTGGGCTCCTCATACGCCCCACCCAAGCGAGAAGAAATAGGAAGTGGGGCGGGGGGGGGCAGCAGTTTGGCGATGGCCCGGCTCCCACCCCACAGAAGGGCTCCAGGGGTCCCCCAGTCCAGGGGTAGGCAACCTTGGCTCTTTTATGACTCATGGACTTCAACTCCCAGAATTCCTCAGCCAGCCTGGCTCAGCTTGGAAACCTCTCCCTGTCCCCTCAACATGGCTGGCTCAGGAATTCTGGGAGTTGAAGTCCACCAGTCATAAAAGAGCCAAGGTTCCTCTGCCCTATATCAGGGGTCCTCAACCTTGGCTCTTTTATGATTCGTGGACTTCAACTCCCAGAATTCCTCAGCCAGTATGGCTCAGCTTGGAAACCTCTCCCTGTCCCCTCAGCATGGCTGGCTCAGGAATTCTGGGAGTTGAAGTCCACGAATCGTAAAAGAGCCAAGGTTGTCTATTTCTGGCCTAGGCCTAGGCCACTTTATGACTTGTAGACTTCAACTCCCAGAATTCCTGAGCCGACCTGGCTCAGCTTAGAAATCTCTCCATTTCCCCTCAGCATGGCTAGCTCAGGAATTCTGGGAGTTGAAGTCCAGGAGTCATGAAGGGGGCATAGTTCCCCCATGCTGGCTCAGGAATTCTGGGAGTTGAAGTCCACGAGTCATAAAAGAGCCAAGGTTGCCTACCCCTGCCCCAGTTGAAGCCTCCAGCAGTCAAGATAGCACAAGGCTGGTCCCGACTGGGAGGTTTCCTCCACCACTACATGGTCACTATACCAAGATGTTCGGACTCCAGCTCCCATCATCCTCCACCAGTCAGGCAAAGCCACCTTAAGAATCAGCCACCGCCATGCTGAATTCCGTTGGGCCTTATTGAGGGTCCTAACCAAGTCCCCCAAACCCAACTCTTCTGCCTACGGGTAGGTAGGGCAAGTCCTTAGCTCCACCCCCTCTCTAAGCTCCACCTCCCACTTTTTAAAAATTGGAAACAGCCCCCACAGGGACCCCCCCCCAAGCTTGGAAAGGAGTGGCACACAATTCTGCTGGTGTTATATATATATATATATATATATATATATATATATATATATATATATATATATATATCCAGCTCATATCGTTCTTCTTCCTCGCTTGTTGTCGCTTTTTTCCAACACAGAAAGGAAAAACTAGGAAGTGACAAAGATGGAGAGTCACTGTCCACTGCCCAAAGCCCCCTGCTGTAACTTAGAGGCGTGCATGTGTGTTTGTGTATGTGTTTGTGTGTAAGAAGCTACAGATGATTTAAAATGCAGCCCAGCGGTTCCTACCATCCATATTTTTTTTTCCCCCTTGCCCCTTCTCTCCGGAATGGTAGCTGTGAACCTGCAGAATTGTGGTGCACACAATTCTGCAGTGTCACAGGTACAGTTCTGTTAAGTGATGCCATCCTACAGCCATCTCTTACTCCTCCGTTCCTAGGTTTGGTGTTTAAGGGAGGTTTAAATCTTAACAAAGCTGGACGTTTTCGGTGAAGAACTTCAAAGATCAACCTGCACGTGGCTAATTTTTCACTGGGTTCGCTCGCCGCTAAGAGAAGAAAAAAGAAGAGTGGGGGAAGAAAAAAACAACCCCTCAGTTTTGGCTCCTTGTTTTTCCACCCTGCCATCCAGGACCTCTCTGGAGCCAGTAAAAAGATCCTTTTTTGATACCCAGAAAATTTTAAAGGGGGCAGATTGGTGGGAAGAGGCGGAGAGTGCCAGAAGGATGGAATGAGAAAACCATGAGAAACGCAAGGAAATGAACAGCTGCTGGAAGACTGTTGGCAAAGAGAGGGATGAGCGTGATGCGGAAGAAGGAATCCTGCAAATTACAGCTTCGAATCTCGGAGATAGATCTTTCTCCCTTTCCTAAGCACACTGTGGACACCAAAAGACTTCAGGTAGAACGATGCTGCCTTTGCTCAAACACCCCCTGACACCTGCCCTTTCTGAAATGGTGAGAACGTTTCATTTTTCGTTGCAGATAATCCCCAAAACTCCATTTAGAGGCCAATAAAGATGCTGGTGAGGAGAACGGCCCTTCGAAACGCTGTCTGTGCCAAGGCACCATTAAAATTGAAATAAACAGAGGTTGTTGCTTTGTTAACCCCTGGAATATAACTCTGGACCCAATGAGCCTTCCTTCCACAAGGTGTCAAGAGTGAAGAAAAAAGTTTTCTCCGCCCCAAAACCCTTGAGATGACAGTGAATTAAATTTATAAGATGCCCGGGTGGGCCAACGTGCCATTCCTGTCTTCTGCCTTGCACGAATTCCTTCACTGCCTCTCCGGGACTCAGTTCACAATCCTCACTTGTGCCATGTTTGCACACAAAAGTGACCTCAGATTTATCAGGCAGACTTTTAAAATTGCAAAGGGGTTGGTCAAATTCTTTCCCTCTCTCTGACTTGCAATCTGGCTGCAACCCTCCTCTTCTATTCTGTTCTGTTCTTACTCAACTCTACTCTACTTCATTCCATTCCATTCCACTCCACTCTCTACTCTGCTCTATTCTTATTCCTACCCTACTCTATCCTACACTACACTATATTTATTCTATTCTATTCTATTCTATTCTATTCTATTCTATTCTATTCTATTTTCTATTCTATTCTATTCTATCCTATTCTGCATTCTATTCTGCATTTTATTCTATTCTATTTAATTCTATTCTAGTCTATTTAATTCTATTCTATTCTATTTAATTATATTCTATTTTCTATTCTATTCTATTTAATTCTATTCTATTTAATTCTATTCTATTTTCTATTCTATTCTATCCTATTCTGCATTCTATTCCATTCCTATTCTATTCTATCCTATCCTATTCTGCATTCTATTCTATTCTATTTAATTCTATTCTATTCTATTTTCTATTCTATTCTATCCTATTCTGCATTCTATTCTATTCTATTCTATTCTATTCTATTCTATTCTATTCTATTCTATTCTATTCTATTCTATTCTATTCTATTCCCATTCCATTCTACCCTACTCTACTCCATTCCATTCCATTTATATTTCTATATTTCTGTATTTCTATATTTCTATTCTATTCCTATTTTATTTTTTTAAATAAATTCTCAGTAAATTTTTTCTGGCAGAGTGAAACAGGTCCTAATGCAATGGGAAAAAAGAAGGGAGCTATTTCTTCACCCAGGACACTGCGAGGGGGAAAAAAAAGCTGGTCCTTCTCAACTTCTAAGAGAGGCCGTTGCATCTGGGGCGATTCCAGGTTTCAAATTCTTGGCACCCCGTGGCATGTACTTTCCCACAACTTCTCTTCCACCCCCGAGGCAGATGTTTTCGCTGACCTGGACACGGGCTTCTGTCAGCTTCGTCCGCTGGGCCAGCTCTTCCCGAGTGTAAATATCTGGGTAGTGGGTCCTTTCGAAGGCCTTTTCCAGCTCTTCCAACTGCTCGGCCGTGAAAGTGGTCCGACTTCGGCGTTGTTTGCGCTTCAGGGGAAGGTCCGGCTCAGATTCGACATCGGAACCGTCATCCAATCTACTGCCTGGGGAGGAGGAAGAGAAGAAGGGGGTTAAAAATGGGAGACGGGGAATAACCGTTCAGGGACAACAGAGAGACAGGTTCACATTGGAAAAAAATGTCTACGGAGATTGTCCGTCATGCCAGGGATGTCCCAAAGATGCTTTTTCAAGAGGCATCTGGACTTTCCTTCCTTTCCTTCCTTCCTTCCTTCCTTCCTTCCTTCCTTCCTTCCTTCCTTCCTTCCTTCATCTTTCCCTCCCTCCCTCTCTCGCTCCCTTTTCTTCTTCCTTCCTTTCTTCATTCCTTCCTTCCTTTGTCCCTCCCTCCCTTTTTCTTTCCTTCCTTCCTTCCTTCCCTCCTTCCTTCCTTCCTTCCTTCATCTTCCCCTCCCTCCCTCTCTCGCTCCCTTTTCTTCTTCCTTCCTTCCTTCATTCCTTCCTTTCCTTCCTTCCTTTGTCCCTCCCTCCTTTTCTTTCCTTCCTTCCTTCCTTCCTTCCTTCCTTCCTTCCTTCCTTTATCTTTCCCTCCCTCCCTCGCTCATTTTCCTTCTTCCTTCCTTCCTTTCCTTCCTTCCCTCATCCCTCCCTCCCTCCCTCTTTTTCCTTCCTTCCTTCCTTCCTTCCTTCCTTCCTTCCTTCCTTCCTTCCTTCCTTCCTTCCTTTCCTCCATCCCTTGTTTCCTGTCTCTCCTTACTTCCTTTTGTCTATGGAGATTCTCCATCATCCAGGTCAGGGATGTCCCAAAGGTGCTTTTTTAAGAGGCAACTGGACTTTCCTTCCTTCCTCCCTCCCCTTCCTTCCTTCCTTCCTTCCTTCCTTCCTTCCTTCCTTCCTTTCCTCCATCCCTTGTTTCCTATCTCTCCTTCCTTCCTTTTGTCTACGGAGATTCTCCGTCATCCGGGTCCTGGTTGTCCAAAGGTGCTTTTTCCAAGAGGCAACTGGACTTCCTTTGTTTTTGCTTTGAAGACGTTTCGCTTCTCATCCAAGAAGCTCCTTCAGCTCTGGACTAAACTCCTTCAGAGGAATTCCATCCTGCTATAGGTATGTGGCGGATACTTGGGTCAAGATCAAAACACAGGAAGTGGAAGTGTTCACCAAAATACATCAACTCTGTGGACAAATACATCAAATTCACGCAAAAACAGAGCGGAAGAAGCTTCTTGGTTGAGAAGCGAAACATCTTCAAAGAAAAACAAAGGAAGTTGCCTCCTGGAAAAATGGACATTTGGGGGGGGGGAATCATTTCAATTTGAGGGGATGTGCCTCAGTTACTCACCAAGTCAGATCCATTAGCACGTCTAAATATTAATTAATTGATCAATAACATGATTGGGAAAGCAGCCACACTCGCTAGATTCATGCCAGCTTTTTGCAGACTTGCAAGTATTCCTCGACTTACAACAGTTTAGCGACCGTTCAAAGTTATGACGGGACTGAAAAATGTGACTTATGACCGTTCTTCACACTTACGACCATTGCAGCCATCCCCAGGGTCACGTGATCAAAACGCAGACCCTTGGCAACCGGCTCACATTTATGACAGTTGCAGTGTAATGGGGTCACGTGATCCCCTTAATGGGGAAGCCAGATTCACTTAATGACAGTGTTGAGTGTTAAGTGAATTTCTTAAGAAAGATGGCAAGAAAAGTCATAAAATGGGGCAAAAAAATCACTTAACAACTGTTTTGCTTAGCAACAGAAAAGTTGGGCTCAATTGTGGTTGATGAGGAAGACAACCTGTACTCACCAAGTCAGATTCATTAGCTCTGATTAATATTATTAATTAATCAATAATATTATTGGAATGCAACCACGTTCTGATAGATTCATCCCGGCTTTTTCCAAACTAATTCCTCTCAGCCCACATAACATCATCACTACTTTTGTATTTATATTATTATAAATTATACGATTTTATCTTTTATGATTTTAAGCTGCCCAGAGTTACACTGTGTGATAAGATGGGTGGCTAATAACTTTTACAAATAAATGAAAAGTCGTCTTGTGTCAAGATGGGTGGCAAACACATTAAACAGATTAATAAAAATAAATCAAGCCAGGGGAAGCCACAGAAATGCAAAAGTTAAACAATTAAAAAAATAGCAACACACACACACACACACACACACACACACAAACACAAACACATACAAACACACACAGAGCGAATCATACCAAAACAATAAAGAAAAAAATGGATGTGTATAGGTAACAAGTATAGTCAAAAATAAGGACTTCTGTCTATAATTTTGTTTCTTTACAAGTAGTCCTTGACTTATGACGGATAACCGAGCCTGTCGCGACGGCTGTTAAGTGGAGCATCTCCCTTAACAACCAATCCTTGCTCTCCCCAATGCAACTGTTAAAACGAACGTGCAGGTTGTTAAGTGAGGATGAGAGGGGCCCTGGGAGGGGTCCTCAGGCCCAGGCCTGCCTGTCCCGGACCCCCAAGTTCTGCCCCACCTCTGAGGCACTCGGGGCTCCTTCTGTGCCCCTCGGGGTCCGCCCCAGGCCTTGGCCTTCTCCCAGGCTGGCCATTTGGACACCCAAGGGAGCCTAACCCAGCAGTGTCCAAACTTGGCAACTTTAAGAGCTGTGGACTTCAACTCCCAGAATTCCACCCCAGGAAGGCTCTAAGGCTCCCTTGCCTGGCAAAATAAAATGGCTGGCTAGGGAATTCTGGGAGTTGAAGTCCACCGCTCTTAAAAATGGCCAAGATTGGAACCCCTTGGGCCTAAGGCAGGGGTAGTCAACCTTGGCTCTTTGATGACTCGTGGACTTCAACTCCCAGAATTCCTGAATTCTGGGAGTTGAAGTCCACGAGTCATCAAAGAGTCAAGGTTGACCACCCTTGGCCTAAGGCAAAAATTACAGTCTGTAGGCCTCAGCCTACTTCCACCCCACCACCACCTCCCTCAGGAAACACCCCCCCCCCACGAGCCTGGGCCTAACCCCAAGCCAGCCATTTTATTTTGCCAGGCAAGGGAGCCTAGAGAAGCTACCAGCCCTTGGCTGTCTGTTACAGCCTCTAGGCCTCGGCCTACCTCCTCCCCCCAGCCCCCCCAAAACCTCCCTCTGCTCCCCCCAGGGCTTGGCCTATTCCAACCTGCCCCCCCCCAGCCTCCTAAGGGAGGCCAAAGCTGGCAGCAAAAGCCCCCCACCAGGGTTTTGCAGGCCCCTCCAGCCCACCCCCCCAACTCTGCTTTTTTGCAGAAAGGAGCCCCATCAATGTCACACCGTGCTCAGCTTCCCCTGCATGGCTGCTTCTGCTGGCTCTTCTGCAGCCAGGTGCAATTCCCACCCTGGCTTAGCAGGTTCAGTGTCTCTTAAGGAGGCTCCATTCATGGGGATGGAGCCTCCTTAAGGAAAACCAGGCTGCCCACCGACTCACGAGAAGACCCATTTCCTTGCTGAAGAGTACCAGGTTTTGCAGCGTTCTGCCAGTCAGTTGCAAGGGTGGACAAATGGAGGGGGCTACAATGGGCAGGAAATATCTTTTTTTAATGGGGGGGTTCCATGAAAACTGTTGCTAAGCAACCGGTCGTAAGTTGAGGACTCCCTGTATTGCAGAAGTCTTGGCCACCTTTCTCCTGTGTGTGATGAAGGAGCCATATATCTCATTGAGGGCAGCCGTGTCCTCCAGAGAGGAAAACAGAGTAACAGAATAAGAGAGTTGGAAGGGACCTTAGAGGTCTTCTAGTCCAACCCCCTGTTCAAGCAGGGAGCCCTATTCCATTTCAGACAAACGTTGTCTAATCTCTTAAAAAAAAAACAAACCCTCCACTGTTGGAGCATTCGCAACTTCTGGAGGCAAGTAGTTCCACGGGTTAATTGTTCTCAATTTCTCCTTAGCCCTTGGTCGCTTCTCTCCTTGATTACACGTCCATCCATCGCTTCTTGTCCTGCCCTCAGGTGCCTTGGAGAACAGGCTGGCAGCCCTTCAGCTATTGCAGTGTTTCCCAAACTTGACAATTTTAAGGCACGTGGACTTCAACTCCCAGAATTCCACAGCCAGCAACGCTGGCTGTGGAATTCTGGGAGTTGAAGTCCACGTGTCTTAAAATTGTCAAGTTTGGGAAACACTGAGCTATTGGAACGGAACCCATCGACAATAAGCAACCTTGGGCTGCAATAATGCAAGTGGCCATCAGGTGGCAGTAGCAGCTCCCAAATTTAAAAAAAGCCACTCTTGCCCTCTAGTGTTGGGCTGGAGCTTTGCAGCCCTGTTCTGCTCATCTGACTTTTTTGCCAAAAAAGAATTTGAAAAGCAGTTTTGGGTTAACATTGTTAATAGTGGGGAGACCAAAGGGTGGATTGGAAATAGGCAGCTTCTGATGGCGAGGAGGTAGAGCTCCTCAGCTCGTTTACTAAATAGACTTACTATTTAATAATATATTAAATATTACAGGCCAAACTCTGGTTGATCATCTGCTGGAAAGCAGAAAAATCTGCAGACAGTCCCTGCCAACCCCAGTCCTGCTGGTATGTTTTGAATGTTGTTTTCGTTGTATTTCTGTTTCCTCCTCAAGATCAAGGCAACGTGTCGGAAAGTGCTGCCTCTCTTTCTCCCCACAACATCCCGGTGAGGTAGGCTGGGCTCAGAAGAGAGTCACCGACTTACAACGGTTCATTTAGTGACCGTTCACAGTTACAACGGCACCGAAAAACGTGACTTTATGACCATTTTTTCACACCTACGCAGCCTCCTCATGCTCCCGTCATCAAAATTCAGACCCTTGGCCACTGACTCGTATTTATGACGGTCACAGCGTCCCGTGGTCACGTGATCCCCCTTTTGATAAGCAAAGTCAGTGGGGAAGCCGGGTTCACTTAACGACTGTGTGTGATTAACTTAACAACGGCAGTGACTCACTTAACAACTGGGGCAAGGGTGGTCGTAAAATGCGGCAAAATTCACTTAACAAAGGTCTTGCTTAGCAACATAAATTTTGGGCTTCATTGTAGTTGTAAGTCAAGGACTACTTATATCCACACAAACATCCGGCTACAACAGGGGTCTTCA